GTCTTTTCAGTAGACTCAGAAACTTCCTGGAAACCCTGTAAAGGCAGGGACCTTAAGTGTGTGTCCTATTTAGCACTGTGCCTGATATGAAGTAATTATGCAGTAAATATTTGTTTTTGCAATCAATTTCTAGTTGACCTCTTCTAATTGTTATATATAACCCTGGTTTCCTTGCCAGATTTGTTTTGCTCTTATTGGTCCTTGATGAGGTTCAGGGGAGAGATTAAGAAGCGAAAGCCTTTAAGACAGTGGTGGCGTATCCCTTACCACAACACTTCTTATTAGGGCCCTATCCAACCAATTGCAGATCCTGGCGCTCAGTTTCCATTGATGATTAAACCCATTGTGAGTTATGTGAAATAGAAATCGAAAGACAAAGCGAGAGAGTCCAAAGGTCTAAGATGGAGAATATACCTTGATAGGGGTACAAGATCTTTCTGGGGAATAGAATCAGACAGAAAGAAAGAGACTTAGTTACATGAGCCGGAGAACTTAATAACCACCCCACCCCCAGTTTGCAGAGCTAAGGGTCTCCAACTCACCTTTGTTTGAGCCAAATTTTAGTTTTCCCTATGACTATGAGTCTCTTACAGCTATATTAAAAACCTCAGACAAGCCAACATTTTGAGGTCCTTACTTTGAGACCCCTAACTAGCTGAATTCCAGAAGAGGCATCTAGTAACTGAAGGATACACTCCAGAGGAAAGGCTAGATCTAAAGCAACACAACCTTTGGATCTAGTTAGTCTGTAGCTTTAGCTTAGCACCCACTGAAGATGCAGCTCTTAACAGAGTGAGCTTGACTTTGATCTCTAGCAAGCCAAACTCATGTGATCCAAAGTAGAGCATGTCTAATGAACTCTTGGAAGGTGCATATGTACCCAACTTTCTGAGCCAAGCCATCTGCGCTGGGTAGAGAGCGAGCTTGGCAAACAAGGATTCTCAAGGACCGTCACTTGGGACAGTGAGTGTGCAGGCCGTGAGTATACACGGACTAGAGGTTCCAGCCCTTTATCTGAAAAGGTCAAGGAGCAATCTCATTTCCCAGGAGGTATTTTCAATCTGGTTATACAATAACGGAGGTATTTTCAGAACCCCTCATGGAGAGAGAACACCTTTGTTTGTCTCACAAGGCAACCTCAACAGGAGTGCCCACGGGAGAAAAGGTGACAAAGCCAGAGCTTTAATGATTATGACCCAGATCCTGGAAACTGGTCATATATCTTTTCAGAACATCTAACTTCCAGATGGGTATTCTTTTTCTTCCTTGGGGAGACAAAAGACTGAAGAGAGTGTTTCTTTGCCCCCTATTTTGCCCTCACACTTACCTGGGGGTGATCTCTACCTATTTTAACAGCCTTTCCTTTCTGAAATTCTCATATCGAATGAGTTGGCCTGAACCCTAACAAATGATAGCCACCCAGCAGGGATTCAATGTCCACAGTTCCCATTCGTGATAACATCTGTCCTGGCTGAGGTGGGGTAGTCTCTCACCAAAAGGAGCCCCGTTTGATGGCAGAACGGAAAGGGAGCCACCCACGATGTTGGGCAGCACATCAGTGTCAGCCCTGTCTGCCTGAGGACCTTTCACCCAGGCTCCTCCTGTGGGTTTTTCGTGGCATAGTCAGTGCCTCCCGTTTCTTACCGCAGTCAGGTGTATGGCTGACTTATTCCTGGGAATGACCCTTGGCCTGCAGTTCCTACCCCCATATTTTGACATGAATTTGGCACAGTTTAAGTATGCATGGATTCTTTTTAAGATATAATTTACATATATCTCAATTTTTTTAAGTTGTACAGATCTTACAACAATTTGAGTTTTGGCAAATGTATATACTTTCTGTAACCCCATACCCCAATCAAAATATAGATCATTCGTATCACCCCAGAAAGTTCCCTTGTGCCCCTTCTCT